ATGGAAAAGATGATGGCAGAAGATCCAGAATGCGAGAAATGGGGATGAGAAAAGAATGGGAGCCAGAGGGAAATGGACAAAGAGAGGGAAGAGGAAGAGAAGGAAGCAAAAGCTCCTGGGAACAGAGGAGGGGGAGGAAATTCATTCAAGCACCCAGAGGTCATTCTGCCAGTGTTCACAGTTGAGCTTGTTTCTTTCACACCAATCCTGTAAGACCCTAGACCCAAGCCTTCAGGAGCCACCCCATTTCCCAGGTGCCAGGGAGGAGAGAAAGGAGGGCCCCCAGGATCCAAGTGGGGCCAGGCTACTCACCTCTCTCTGCTCGATGCAGATTTTGCAAAGCCACACAGAATGCGGGCGGTTGTTGGAGGTCTCCACCCCACACTTGGTGCAGACGTTCTGGGGATAAGACAATGTACACTGGGGTGAGCCAGGCTCTGAGTGCCAGGGATTGGAGCAAGGGGCCAGGAGTGCTGGTGAGGGGTCCCCCTTCTCTCTGGTGGATGTTAAAAACTCTCCTTTCCTCACATCCCTCCCATCATCAAGGCCAGTCAGAATGAAGGTCCAGCTGGAGAATTATTTCCAATAACAAGAACTCAAGTTGTTCCTGAGCACTGGATGAAGGAATCCTCCAAGAGTTTCTGTGGGGTCTGAGTTTTTGCCATTGACATAAAAAATTTTTAAGAGAGATTTTTGCTATAGGGCATGTGTGCTCATCAGAGAGACAGAGAGCAAGAAATCACCCCCCAAGGGGGATGGCCATGCTGCAATCCCTTGTCCTTCATTCTCCTCTCAGGATCTTGGGCATGCACCCACATGCCCAGCATGAGTTTAAGCTGCTGGATCCAGGACTCAAACCATGGTCAACTACGTGAGAGTTCAGTGACGTAACCATTACACCAACTGCTGGTCCCATCATTGACATAATTTTTAAGAGGAAAAAATGCTATATCCATCCTGTTTATTATTTAGTTATTTTTCTTTCCCCAAAGGACCGGAGACAACCTAGACCATGACTAGAAGCTCACCTCCCCAAGGAGGAGGAAGTTATCTGAGTCAAAGTCATGATGTGTGATGGAACAGACATTTGGACTGAGTTTTCTGGAAGTCAAGACAAATAGGAAAGCCTAATGGATCACAGCATTTTTACTATCTAGCTGGCAGCAACAGACATGTTTTTCAGCATAGATAAACTTTCCCCAATATTTCACTCTTAGTGCTAAATGGGAAGCCAAGCAGGAGAAGTCAAGTGGCATTATGGATGTCTCCGGCTGCATTGTTCACCCAAATTCCTTTCCTTGGAATCAGATAGCCCCAAAGACAGCTGGATCCCTGGCCCGGAACTGTCAAGTGCACACAGCCTCCATATTGGATGGAGGGAGAAGAGAGCCCAGGAGACTGCCCTTCAGGAACAAATGCTCTCCAAGTTAAATGATCCTAACTTGGCTGGATAAAGCCTTTCTAAGTTTCTTGTACCATAACCTCAGGCAAGGGAAGGCTGAGAGCATCCACATACACACATGTGTACACCTGGGCCCAGCACATGTTCTTTAAATTGATATGTAACTTGCTAAACCCCAACCAGGATACTTGCAGGCTCCAACCTCAAGCTCCCAAGTTTATCCCAAATGGAGCTCAGATCTAAGGGGACAAAAGAATCAGAGTGATGTCTAGGGAAGGAACCAGGACCCCAGTTACCTTAGAAGATAATTTGGCATAGAAGCATCCTAGAGGAATAATAACCCGGCGGCTAACCTTCAGGATTCCAGCTCCATCCCTAAGACCCAGGACCACCCCCTCCCCAAAGCTGGAGCCTAGGGTTGGCCCCTCTGGAGGTGCTGAGCAGGGAGGAGGGAGGCGAGTGTTAGGTACCTTCTTACAGTCCTCACACACCACGCAGGCAGAGCCCAGCATGCCCAGCTGCTCTCCACACAGGATGCAGCGGTTCACCCCGTCCCCAGCCACATTCTTCCTCATGTTCTCTAGGCGGTCCACCAGGCGCCTGCAAGCAGAGACAGGGTAATGAGGACCCTCTAGGACCGGGCACACTGGGGTAGCCCACAATGTCAAGCCGATTGTCTTCATCTTCTTTGAGTCATAGAATCCAGCATCTGATGATAACCGTGGACTCTTCTCCAGAAAGAGGCTCGTGCACATAACACTCCGATATCTTTTGGGACATCAAAGACCCCTCTACCATGCCACTCAGTCCATCTGTTCTACTGACCTTGGATTAAGACTCTTATCTAACCCTCTTTATCCCAGGTCACCTCCTCCAGGAAAAGTGCCTTCTGAGCTCCAGGTCTGGTTAGTGCATTGTCTATACTGGCTAGAGCCTTGAAATCGGACAGACCCAAAGACAGTTATATCCCTGGGCCAGAAGTGTCAAGGGCAAGCAATCCAGCCAGAGAATAGGTAGGTAGTGTTCTCGTTTTATCACTGGTGCTTCCAAAGCACAGAGAGGGTGAGAAGCTGGCATGACTCACTCAGCCAGGGACAGGATCTAGTTTTCAGTCTTAGTAAATCATCGTCATTTTCAATGATGTGTCTTAGGCTCCTGCCTCATGCCCACTTCGCTAATGCAGCTCTTGCTCCGAAGGAGAGCATGGCTGACGGTTGGCGTGCACTCTGCGTGGTAAGGAAAGGGAAAGGCTGTACTGTCCCTTTTTGGAAAGTTCAGGCTGTGGATTAGCCACCACTTGCAAACCCACATGGTAACCTCCTCGCAGAAAGCCCGATCCTCCCACTGCTCAGCCCTAAAAGCCAGAAAGGCCCCTTTAATGCACGCTGCTCTGGGAGTGTCCCATTTGCTTCCACCAGTTGCAGTGAATGGCATGGAGATACAACAGGTTTAAGATCATTATCCCGAGGTCTCCGCCCAGGGCTCCTAGTTGCTGTGAGTTCAGTAAGATGATAAAAAGGCGCATGTGGGGTGGAGACAGATTGGGGTGAGCAGGAGGCTTCTTGCAGCCTGCCTGCAGGGTACCCTCTTTGTGGTCCCAAATGCTAGAGGCACAAAGATGAAGGCCCCAGCGACCAAAGATTTTAAACTTGGAAATAAAACTTTGTAGGAAACCAAATCAAAATCACATCATGGGAGACTGCAAGTCACAAATGGGTCTTTATCCTGGTGATAAAACATTTCAGAAGAAGTATTTATTCTACCAGTCTTAGCAGGAGACACTCTCAACCCTCCTGCATGTCAATGACTCAGAGGAAAGGAAAATACCAGGGCTGGCCAGGGATGCTAAACCTCACGGGGTATCTTTAAGCTCCCGGATCCGCAGTAAGCAGGCTGCCCTCCTGAGAACCACCACCAGGGGGAGTGTTCCCAGAATTGATGGTTCTTCTAGATCATCTGGGGAGAGTTTGCCATTCAGAGGATGAGTCTACCGGGTTGAGGGGGAAGTCTGGAAACCTGCCTTTGTGTATATGTGTGATTATTAATGATGAAATTTATTTCCTTCAGCTTTTTGAGATATCATTGACAAATAAATACATACAGAAGTTTTTTAGAGCCTGTTGGGTTGATGTGCACATACATTGTTAAGAAACCTTTGCAACCAAGCTAATTAAGGTAGCAGAACCTTCATATAAAAGTGACTCCCAGCAGAGTTCGGCCGCTGGTGGGCCTCTGTCCACACTTTGAGAACTGCTACCAGAGATAAGGAAGAAGCAGTGAATCACTTGGGGAAACGCTGTCCTCCTTAAGTCAAACGGGCGGGGAGGGGAACCCAGGGTGCACCATTGAGATTAGGGTGTGAGTCTGGGTTTGGATATGCTCATCTGAATATCCTCGTTGTGTGCACTTAAAAAAAAAAAAAGAAAGAGAAAAAGAAGGATCAGGGAGGGAATACCACAATATTTACGTGGTCATTGCCGGGTGGTGAGCTTATGGGGGGCTTTTATCTCCTTCTTTAATGCCTCGATGCCCTCTATTAAGCACCAAAATTAGCTGGGCTCTACTTTCTTTAATGAATGGGTACCACTCTCATATTAGAGAAAAAAGTGCTTTTTGTTTGTTTGTTTGTTCTTGTTTTTGTTTTGCTATAGGATGCATGCATATGCAAGAGAAAGAGAGACAGAGATGAAGAGAGAGAGAGAGAGAGGAAGTGAGAAATCATCCCCCAGGGGGATGGCCAGGCTGCAACCCCTTCTCTTCCATTCTCCTCTTTGGATTTTGGGCAGCGTGATTCTCAAGCTGCCAGGTCCAGGGCTCAAACCAAGTTGGTCATATTTGAGAGTCCAATGCCTTAACCACCACGCCACCTGCTGGCCCTGAAAGTGCATTTTTGAAGATAGAGATCACACCTACCAAGGGTTAAAAGAGGACCATGTGACTCCTGTTTTACTTGTTCAATGACCTTGAAAAACCTCTGTTCTTGGAGTCCTCCCTTTCTTAGACTTTACTAGGGGGTAGGCAGGACGCACCTCAATTTTCCTCCATGAGTAGCACTCAGGGATTCTCAGATCCTGAGACTGAAACATCGATCTTCCCTGCCCTCCCCTCCCCCTTCAATTACGGGACCGACAGTGGCTCAGAGACCAGTCTGTGTTGGCTGCTGGCTTTGTTTGCACGTCTAATGTCTTCTCTCCTTCCCCATATTAGGTGCCCAATTAGCTGGACACTGTAGTTGCTGTCACTGCCTGGTTATGTCTTTACATACCCAATTAACTTTACGACGACTGCTCACGCCTGGCATCCAGGAAACATCGATCACTCTCGGACTGGTGCTGGGTGCTTCAGGGGAGCCATTGGTTACTGGGGATCTGGGTAGGTGCCTGTCCTTCTTAGGATGCTTCCAGAGGCACCAAGAAGGCCACGTCTCTCTCTGTCTCTCCAGTGTGTGCATGTGCCCTATTGCAAAGATCTCTCTCTCTATAAAATAATAATAATAATAAAGACAGGAAGAAATAGGAAGCAGTTATGATGCAGTGACTGGGATGCTTAGTTCTGCAGTTAGCTTGCCCGCCTCTGTTTCTGAACTTTGCTAGTTTCTAGCTCTGTGACCCTAGGAAAGTGACTTTGCCTTTCTGAGCCCGAGTTTCTTCATCTAGAGAAAAAGCACATTCTAACCACCTAGGATCACTGCAAGGATAAAATGAGAAGTGTTTGTGAAATGCCTGGAACATGGTAACTACCCAGTAATGGTTGCTGCTAATTATTTCTCTAGGAATACTGTGGCTTTTATAACTCCCCAGCCTCACATTTTTTCTTGGTAACCAGGATGCTCTCTGCCTGTGAAATCCATCTTTCCAAAACATTTAAAAGGGGCAGTGGTGGGAAGCAATCTGTACAACTCGCATGCCCTTCTCTAAACACACATGGATGGCCCTCGGCCCTACATACAAGGCATACGCAAGAACACACCTGCCTCCGAGTAGACCACTGAGGCGCATGTTCATGTGAGTGTGCACAGAGACACACACACTCAAAGATGCACCCTCAGAGCCTCCGTGCAAGACCCCACCGGTGCAGGCGTGCCTGCACACACTCTGATCCTCAGAGAGCCCAGCTCTAATCAGCTGTGTTCTGCAGACAAGGACGAACGCCACAGGGAGGACTGACAGCTGCTTGTGCGTTAAACTCGGGTTCCCTCAAAAAGCCCAAATTGGCCTCAGAAACATTCCGGCGACCGCTCTGGGGCTTTCCAGCCAGGACTGCTGCGGCGTCTCAATGAACGCTGAAGAGCAGGCTAATGGCTGTACAATCACACCCGGAAGCAGGCTGCGTGTGGCGTGCCGCAGAGCCTGGGGCAGATGCCCTGGCCGCCAGGTGTGACGGTGTGCTTGCCGATTCCCGAATCAGCGGGGAAGGGGCTAGAAGCTGGGGTTCCACCAACTTATGGGACAGAGCCAGAGCCGTTGCTTCAAGAAGCAGTGGCTGGTCAGGATTTCATAACGAGTTATAAAAAACGCAGCAAAGTGAGGACACAGGTGCCATTTTTCTCTGCATGCGCCCCTCTCTCTGACACACACATCTATTCCAGAATCATGCTGCTCGCTCTTCGCCTCACCTAATTGCCAAGCAGGGACGTTACCATTGAGTTTACTACGCTTGGCACCTCTTCAGTTAAGGTTGGACCATCTGCTCTGAACAGGAAGACGGCTGCTCTGATGGGGGCTGGCCTGAGGCTACGATGCCAGGGTCTCCCAGGAATCTGTCCCTAAATGACTGAGCTGCTCATAACACCATGTGGTGGGCACACGGGCGGTGTGCATTTCAGATTCATTAATCCTCACGGTTGTTTATGACTGCCACCACTTGGGAGCTGTAGATCTCGACGTCTCTTTGTGAAGGATGGGTGAATAGGACTCGTGGCTGGGCCTCGGCACTTTGGGGAGGGGACATCCAGCTGGAGTGGAAGGAGCCAAAGGAGGTATTCGGCTCCAGGGCCCAGCCGGTCTAACATTCAGGCTGTGTGCTGTGGCACTGTAGGCCCCGTAAACAGTAGTCACAGTGACTGCTCCTGAGTGTCACCCCGCGTGCCTGGATTCCCTAAGCCATCAGCAACCTGTGATATGCTGTTATTATTCACTCTCATTCGCAGACGGGATAGCTGAGGCATGCAGGGGAAGTCAGCTGCTCAAGTTCAGGCAGTGGTGGGGTAGTTAAGGCACTGGACTCCCACATGGCTGAACATAGTTTGAGTCCCGGACCTGGTAGCTTGCTCTCTCTCTCTCTCTCTCTCTCTCGTAAATTAAAAATTAATAATAATGGGGCCAGTAGATGCTGTTGTGATTACATCACTGGACTCACACATGGCCAACCATGGTTCAAGTCTCTGACCTGGTGGCTTGAAAAATCACACTGGGCACATGTGTGTGCCCCAGATCCCAGAAGGAGAATGGAGAAGGGACTGCGGTGTGGCCATCCCCCCAAGGGCGATTTTTCACTTTCCCTCTCACTGTTCCTGTCTCTCTGGTAAGCACACACACTCTATGGCAAAACCTCTAAAAATCATATAATAATCAACAGATTAAATTAAATAAGTAATTCTT